TTTTCTGACCTTTTTGTTAGAAAATGAGCCTTTAACTTTTAAAAAAGTTATGTCCAGTCCTAAGGCTCCTTTATAGAAAGAGGCTATAATCCATCTTGCAAAATCACATATAGGAATTAGTGGATTTGCCACCAGGTTGTAAACCTCTTGGATACGAGTGGATTTTCAAAAGGAAAATGAAAGCAAATGGATCAATTGACAAATATAAGGTAAGACTTGTGGTCAAAGGACATAGACAAAAAGAAAGTCTTGATTACTTTGACACATATTCACTAGTTGCTTGAACAACATCCATTAGAATATTAATTGCCATTGCATCTTTATACAAATTAGAAATTCATCAAATAGATGTGAAAATAACTTTCTTAAATGGTGAGTTACATGAAGAAGGGAAAGAAAAGAAAGTGTGTAAATTGGTTAAATCATTATATAATTTAAAACAAGAACCAAAGCAATGGCATGAGAAGTTTGACAAGACAATGATGTCAAATGGATTTAAAATTAATGAATGTGACAAATGTGTTTATGTAAAAAACACAAATGTTATGTTATAGTATGTCTTTATATTGATGATATGTTCATCATAGGTAATAATAACGACATAAAGAAAATGTTGAATGAACATTTTGACATGGACATGGGAATTGCTGAGGTAATTCTTGGTATGAAAATTACCAAAATATCAGAAGGATATGCTTTGTCACAGTCACATTACATTGAGAAAATACTTGACAAATTTAGCAAAGATGATAATCATCTTGCTAGAACACCTATGAATGTTAATTTGTTTCTTTCTAAGTATGTACAGAAAAGTATTTCTCAGTTAGAGTATGCCCAAATTATTGGAAGCTTAATGTACTTGATGAACTGCACTCTCTCAAATATAGCTTATGCAATAAGTAAATTAAGTAGATATACGAGTAATCCAAGAGTAAAATACTAGAAAGCTATTATAAGGGTTCTAAGATATCTCAGATTTACTCGTACCATTGGGCTAAACCATACTAAATATTTAGCTGTACTTGAAGGATACTGTGATGCAAACTGGATATCGGATACTAGAGACTCAAAATCCACTGGTGGGTATGTCTTTACTCTTAAGTGGTGCGGCTGTATTTTGGAAATCTTCCAAACAGACTTACATTGCTAGGTCTACTATGGAATCAAAGTTTGGAGCATTAGATAAAGCTGGGAAAGAAGCAGAATGGCTTTGTCACTTCCTTGAAGATATTCTAATATGGCCAAAACCTGTGTCTGCTATATGTATACATTGTGATAGTCAATCGGCAATAGGTAGAGCACAAAGTCATATGTATAATGGTCAGTCACAACACATTCGTCGTCGACATAATACTGTGAGACAACTACTCTTTAATGGAATTATTTCTATTGAATATGTGAAGTCTGAAGATAGCATAGCGGATCCACTTACCAAAGCATTAGCAAGAGAGTTAGTTAAGAATTCATCGAGGGGAATGGGACTTAAGCCTATTTAATAAGAGTTACCACAACGGCAATTCAATCTAGTTGACTGGAGATCCCAAGACTAGGTTCAAAGGGACAACTGAGTTGTGTATGACTTATAAGGATCACCGGAGAGTCGAACTCTTACCATTTTTATGATGAAATAGTGATGTTTGCAGCGTGTGAGGATAAGCAATGTTTTTAATGATTCTTATATCTAGGAAAACCTAGTAGAGTATGACAGGATACTTTTCATAAAAATCACCTATATGAGTGTGAACTGGGCTGGTTCTATGAGTTTTGTAAGGGTTACAATTCTCTAGAGCACTCATGAAGTACCAGGTTGTTCAAGGCCAAAATGAACACAATCGTGAGAACCAAACTGTGTCTAGAAATATGTTGTGTGAGTTCTATTGTCTTGGTTTACACAAATAGTTGAACAGTTCAAGACATCACGTTCGTTGATTAGCTAGTAAATCCGATAGTCTCACAAGGGAAGGTTGAAAGTCAAAAGCTACCTATCCTTTGCAGAATATCTCCGATTTCTGTACTCTCTTTAGAAACATCATGTTGCATTTTCTCTCTGTCAATTCCATTCATGTGGGGGATTGTTGGAAAATTTGGTTTTGTAAGCTAATTTTGGGCCATCTTTGAGCCTAAATTTCAGTGGCGTCCACATGTCGTTTAAGGTGGGTCTAAGTGGTGACGTGTTCTTTGTCGCATGGCAAGTCACACGGTAAAGACAAATCGTCAAAACCATTTATGAGTGAATAAAAAGTTGACGTCGTTTCGATTTTGTGAAATGGAAAATTGAAGAGTCAAATGTGAGTTACCTTGTTTTGGGTGTCCCATGTAGAAACAATAAGAGAACTTATATGAGTATATAAGCTTTAAGTTGACATACTTGGGATGGGCCCTAAGAGGCACTCCAAGTTTTGTAAGGAGAGTAGTTATGGACAAAGCGAGTTTGACCCAAATCCACCACATGCACGCACCACCGCGTCCATCCAGCCGGGCTGGGCGGGGTTGCGGGTCGAGTCCTAGCTTTAATTTTTTGGACAAAATTCGTTTGACTTTTTTTAAAATTCTTGCGAGAAAATTTGAAATCTTAACAGATTAATTCAAACTGTTGCGTCAAAATTAGAATTCGAATTTTTTTGCTTCCCGGAACAGTGCCTCTCCGGTCGCCTCTCTTCATTCGGTAGTTCCAGGTTTCACACCTGTTTGAAGGTTTTTGCCCTTCCGAACAAACACCTCTTGGCCTATAAATACAGGATCCTCCAGCAGATTCAATTCATTCCATTGTTTCCTTTCCCATTTTCCTTATGTGCTGCATTATTCTTCATACTAGTTCTTAGAGGTTTAAGAGAGTTTCAGAACTCAGGTTCTGGTTCGCCAGAACAGATTGTTTGTAGTGCTACTACAATCTGTGTGAGTGATTATTGTATCCTGGGAGATAGACGCCGATAATCCGTAAACACCTGTGTGACGGCGAATCTATCTTAACAACAGAGTGTCACACACTCGACTTGATTGTATTTTGCTATTCTTTCCGATACAATAACTTCCTGTAAGTAATTTATTTACTTTGTTTCAGTTTTTTATTTTTTACAAATAAGATTGTTCCAACAAAAGGCTATCCACTGCACAAAGTCCATTAATGTCAATTAAGTCTTGCTCTAGTTTCTACTTCCATAACCACACTTTCATTATCAAGAAAATGAAATAATAATAATTGTTCTCTAAGATTTTCAAATTTCTTTGCTTATGCTCCCTTCCATTTTTCTTTCATCTTCTAAATTTCTAAATTTCTACCCATTGATCAACATGAAATGTTTTTTGAATTTGTTTAGTCATGGCCCTTTCCAATAATCTTTAATGGGTACTATTTGGGAGTTGTTTTTTTAGAAGCAACATAGGGTAGGGTTGCTATAGCAATTTTATATTATATCAATCAAGACGAAAGCTTAGCTTTGCTCTGTTCAAGTGATTTTGTCAAAGCCATAGAAAGGGGAAGTGCTTTTTCAGCAGGCTGATAAATGAATGTGAATGGCATCATGGAAAGTTATTTAAATTCTTCTTCCAAAGAATCTTTAATGGGCAACAAGTTAGATTTCAATTCTTTTAAAAATATACATATCTCATGAAATTATTGCCACTCGGTCATTTATTTATTTATTTATTTTGCTATTGCTAAATTACTTTTGCGTACGAGTCAACGTAGTAATTGTTTTAGAGTGTTTATAAATCACACCCTTCTTGTGAAAAAAAAATAATTTTTTCAATAAAAGATAATGCAATTCAGTGTCAGTAAAAACATGCTTAAACTGTAAAGCATAACAATAAAAATGCTTTTCATAGTTAAAGTGAAGCGCATGTACAAAAGTGAGTTTTTTTGTGTTCTTTTATTTTGTTTAATAAGATGTAATTTATTAGTTTTAATATAATAGTATTGAATGGGCCCTTGATAGTCATTATGCTAAAAAACTTGACAAAGCTTGACAAAAAGAGATTTCCAAGGATATTTTACTGGAATGGAAATACAAGCTTCATTACAATACTGCAACTAAGTCTCATCTGGAAAATAGCATCAAACATCAATTTCAATACTAATCTTAGCAAAACTGAGCCTTTTACTGAGGTCAGCATACAAAAGGGCTTCACGTTTTCCGTGCTGCATCACTCTTTTGTGAACTATAAATCCTATAATCCTTAGTTTTTGAGGGGAAAGATCTTAAAAGCATTTGGGAAATGATTTCTTTTGGCCTCTTTGATTGTACATGGCTCCTCCTTTTAGATGATTTTCTTTTTTAATTTTAATTTTCTAGGGAATGGAGAGCCTTGTGTAGAATGTGAATTTCTTTTTATTTGGATAGTTTTTCATGTTCTGTCCTTTTTTATTTTAATAAATTTATTTTGCGTTGTTTCCGATAAAAAAAAAGACGGTAAAATATGGGTCATAAATTCATAATGCTCTTACATAAATGTGTTGTTACATGATTAATTCAAAAATAAATAAATAAATAAATAAATAAATCTGTGCTCTATTTGATGTCTAATTGTTAAAAACAAATTGCTCTAGAAATATCTTAAATTCTATTATTATAATCAATACAAGTCTACTCTTATCATAACATGTTCCTGGCCCATTCGATGGACTTGAACAATCCACGTTCCAAGTAATGTAGGTTTAAAGTCAAGAAACTTATACAAATACTGCTAGAGCTGCCAAGACTAAACTGCCAAGCATCCTGTATTGGCACCACCACCACTGAGTAATGGCTTTTTCTTTTTTATACTGTACAATTTTTTGTACCATTTGCTGATAAATAAGAATTTGCAGTGGGTGAAAGGATATTTGGGTTGACTGACCTATGGAGTTGAATGGTTATCAGAACTTTGTAAAGCAGCGATAGTTGATTTGGCTAATGGCTTCCTCATTTGGACCATCTTTTCACTTTGTTTATATTCTAGTTATGGTCATTTTTAGATCTTTGATTTTTTTTTTTTATTTGTTTTTCTTTTTATAACTTTAGGGAACTCCTGGAGTAACAGGATCAGTGCTTTGGGACAGTGGAGTTGTATTGGGGAAGTTCTTAGAGCATGCTGTGGAATCAGGGATGATGCTTCTTCAAGGCAAGAAGGTTGTTGAATTGGGATCTGGCTGTGGATTAGTTGGGTAATAATAACAACTATTTTTAAGTTCCATCTTTGTCATTATACCATACCATATGAACAAACTGAGTAAGTTTATTTTCCAGTTGGTGAAATGGCTTTCAAATGAGGGAAGCAAAAAAATAAAAATAAAATTACATGGTCAATAAACCTTATAAAATAGGACTTTTATTAGAATTCTAAGCTGATGAGATGGTAGACCATGTCTATGAATATGATTAGTAAGTGCGTAGCATGAGGAGTGGAATTTTCACTCTGATTTTTTTATATTTATTTTGCTAATTTTATATGAAAGTAATTGCTTCTCTTAAATTATGATTTTCTTCTGTTGTGTTTCCAGCTGCATTGCTGCCCTTTTGGGTGCTGAAGTTATTCTTACTGATTTGCCAGATAGATTAAGGCTGCTGAGGAAGAACGTTGGAACTAATCTGTACGGAAATGTTCGTGGTTCTGCAGCAGTGAGTCAATTCGTTTGGGGAGAGGAGCCTGATTTAGAATTGATTCAACCATTACCTGATTATGGTACAAAGATCTTATATCTTCTCTTCCACATAACAAAGGTTTTAAAAATTGGTTGTTTCTATAACCAAGTAGGTGTAATGGGTGTTACAACTCCGTTAAGTGCCTGTTACGGTGCCGTTACAAATTTAATGGCTATTGTAATCAATTTTCCTAAGAACCAATACCAGCTCTTGGTTGTTGGATGTTGCACCCGGACCTTCCACATGGCGTGTCTTGACCTACGAATTTAGTCCCATGCTCCATATGCATTGTCATCAAATTACCAAGTATTCCTTTAATGCTTCTGGGCCAAGTTCTGATCTTTTATGAGTTGTTTTGGTGCTCATTTAAAGTTTCTGAATTTTAGAGTTTTTTTTTTCCCTTAATTTTATATAGTCTTATTGTGTTATTCTCTTATTTTGGATGAAAAAAGTGTTGGGGTCAGATGTAATTTATGGTGAGGATGCGGTGATGGATTTATTGGCCACACTACTAGAACTTTGTGGCACCCAAACAACAATTATTTTGGCTGGAGAACTTCGCAATGGTACAAAAAATTTTAAGTTTGCTTTGTTCTGCCCTATTGTTCTCTCTCTCTCTCTCTCTCTCTCTCTCTATATATATATATATATATATATACATATAAATATTTGTTTTTCTGTGCAGATGCTATCCTTGAATACTTCTTAGAATCTGCATCAAAGGAGTTCATCATTGGGCGTGTGGACCAAACTCAGTGGCATCCAGAATATTGCAGCCCACGAGTAGTGATTTATGTCTTAGTGAAGAAGTGAAATAAGAGAAAATGATGATTATCATTCAGCAATGAGTCATTATGTCATGCATCACATTTGTTTTGTGCTATTTTTCTTGGATGGCAAGACATTTCCTTTGCCGTGACATGCTGCTGTTTGAAGCATGGAAATAATCTACTATGTTGGGGTGGGTCTTTGGCTGAAGATGTTTGATTGCTTTAAGGAATGGTCCTTTTTTAAATATATATATATATATATATATGACGAGACTTCATGAATTTAGTGCTATGTTGTTGACCTACTTCAAAGTTATATGTTGCTGACCTACTTTAATTGACTTTGATTTTGTATATTTTGCAATTAGGCGAGGATGGTGAGGATTTTCCAACCAAAAAATCCCCCTCCTCCAACAGACAAATCAGCACACTCGCAATGAGATTATACCATACACACAAGCTTACACTCACACAGCTGTCAGTCAAATAAGGAGGGCATCAGTTGGATCTTATATAAATGGTGTCTGTCCCTTCACTCAGTACTCTTTGCTTTTGCATTGATTGACTGATAGAAGAATCAGTTTAAGAGAGGTGTCCCAGCACCAATCTAGGGTTGCCATTCCACACACAGGTTAGAACAAATAAAGCTGAGATAAAAAAGATCCCATATTATGGCAGATCATCAGAAAAGTCATCCGGTCGTGGCGGATGGGGAAGCACAGCCAACACTGCCTAGAGTGGAAGCACAACCAACGACACTGCCTTTAGTGTCGCGTGGTTTATCAAATTCAGAAAAAGGAGATAATCCAGTAGTGCAGCATCCCCGTCCCCTTCCTCCATTCAATGTTCCAGTAGTACCAATCCACTCAAATAATCCACCAAAGAAGCCGAGAAGCAGCTGTTGTTGCTGCAAATGCTTGTGTTGGACGATTAGCCTTCTTGTCCTATTATTGATAGTTGTAGGAATCACCTGTGGCATCCTTTACCTTGTGTTCCGCCCAAAACTTCCCAACTATTCAGTTGATAGCCTGAGTATATCTGATTTACGGCTGATCAACTTTGGTATGAGCCTCTATGCCAAATTTGATGTGAAGATCACTGCCACGAACTCAAACAAGAAAATTGGAATCTATTATGAAAAAGGGAGTCAGCTAAGTGTGTGGTACTCTGACACCAATCTATGCCAAGGAACGCTCCCAAAATTCTACCAAGGTCACCAGAATACCACACACCTCGACGTGGCTCTAACCGGTCAAACCCAATATGCGAGCACTTTGATGACAGCATTGCAGCAGCAGCAGCAGACTGGAAGAATCCCTTTAGATCTCAAGATAGATGTGCCTGTCAGCGTTAAACTTGGCAAGTTGAAATTGAGGAAGGTAAGGGTTTTGGGCACTTGCCTCCTCGTAGTTGATAGCCTATCTGCCAACAGTTTGATCAGCATTAAAGCGAGCACTTGTAAGTTTGGGCTCAAGCTCTGAGACTTTGCCATCCTTGTACAAGCTCATAGTCATGGATCTCTCTTCTTCTTCTTCTTCTTCTTCTTCTTCTTCTTCTCGAATTATTATCATTATTATTTTTCATCGGTTTTGAAATTGAGCCGACGAGATTCTCTTTTCCCTTCACTTGTCACATTATCACTTTCATTTTTAATTATTATTATTATTATTATTATTATTATTATTTTTTGTTTTTCCATCACAAACGGTTTATACTCAGAATCCGTACAACTGTAACAGCAACAATTTGATGAATATTTGATGAGTGTACAAATAGATCCTGACCGTCTAACTAACTGGTAACAAAAAAGGGCTTCTATCAACAGTAATGCCGTCCATCTCCATGAAAACAGGAAAATTGACTAGACTGTACTGTATCAGTACCCATTAATTACACTATAAAGCACTAATCACTCACCAGTTAAAGCACGTGGCCTATGCTCTATTGTAAACAGAGACATTCCGGTTTGTGAAATAGCTCTCACAAAAGCCATGTTTGCAGTTAAAGTTGGAGCTCGCCATTGATCTCCTGTGCCAAAAACAACCTTGTTCTTGTAGGCCAACTTTCTGGTGGTTGGGAGACTCATCATGCGTGCTGACGGACTGTCACCCACAACCCTGCACCAATAATTACTTACTTCATAAGCATAAAGAAAATTCGATTAGAGTATGATCCACATTGAATCAATGTGCTTTCTAATATTACTATTTTTACAATATAAAATCAGTGATGACGCTAAAAAATTACTTACTTCATAAGCATAAAGAAAATTCAATTAGAGTATGATCCACATTGAATCAATGTGCTTTCTAATTTTACTATTTTTACAATATAAAATCAGTGGCGATGCTAGAAAATTAGTCTTGTGTTGTATAGTTTCCTTGCATATATATCCACATCAAATTTTACTTCTGTAAATTGTTGAAAACTGGAGGGAAAGGGGGAAAACAGAAAAGAAAGAAAAAACAAGAAAAACAAACAAACATTAAACAAAAGGGAAGGAAAAAAAAACGTTCCATATACCACTGGCACAGCCCTTGACTGGTTAGAGACCCATTTGGAAGCTTAAGGTGAAGACCATGGGTCCAATGCAAAGGCTCGGGCTTAATGGAATTGTTCAATTGCACAATTCTTTGGGTATTTTGGTTAGAAAGGAATGCAAGGAATGAGAATTTTTTAAGATAAGTTTGATGAATTGGGAGTCTTGTGGGATAGGATTTATTACCTATTTTCATTTTGGTAGTCAGTTTCTCCTCCTAAGGAGATCCTTTTATTTTAGATAGGTAGAGAGATTGGAAAGTAGTGTGCAATTTTCTACTTTTTGTTTCTCTTCTTTTCTTTTTTAATCTTCTTGGTGGATCTCTGGTCCTCCTCCTATTGTAATAGTTTTGCTTAATTAATTTTTTTTCCCTGTTGTTGATAAAAAAGAAAAAAAAAAAGAAGAAGAAGAAGCATTGTTATGAACAACTCGCTGATAATAATCAAAGCAAAACCTAAATTGGATTCTATAATAATGCATATATGAATAGAAATTTGTTAACATTATCAGGTTATGTCATCCAGTCTAACATTTCTTTTAGTCATAAATAATAAACCATTTAAAAGGAAAATACGCAAATTAAACCTAGTTGTTGTAATAAAGGATAAACTGATCATAAAACTCACATGAGGCATTTTAGCAAGTGATCAGCCCTTGACTTCTCATTTGGCCCCCCACACATTGACACTAACTCTTTAAACTCCGAACAAACACTTTCACATATCATGCCTCTCTTTCCAAATAGCACACCACCAAGTTCCATGTGGATTGGATTCTGAATTTCAGACATTACCTGGCAAGATGTATAGATCAATTTCCATCACACATGGACATGGCGAGTATGATTAATGCATGAACACTTCAAAAATGCCACAAATATACCAGAGATTCCATGTGATAGTTATCCCCACGTAGAAAAGAGAACTGACGCCATTATTAAATGTGCAGTTGGACTTTGAAATCAATACTAAATAACTGAATGATCTCTAAGTATTACTAAAGTTTCGACAGATTAATACTATGAATGATTCCATTTTTTCTACAAAATTATTAAAATTGTAAGTTCCTTTTTTCATATTATGAAAGTCTTAATATATGTACAAAATAATACCTATTTGTATCAATAGATGCATGTTAAACAAATTATGTGTGTGTGTGGTTCAAAGTAACATTCTAATAAATGACATATCTTCAAGGAATGAAACTCTTAACCAATCAATTTCATTAGTAAATACCAATCCCATTCATATTTAAGCTAATAATAACCTTACTTGATAAAGATTAGGAGCTCTTTTGTTGACAAAATATGCAAATCTGTGAAAAATATCACCAATTTTATTTATTTTTTTGCTTTTTACTTTTTCGGGCTGAAGAAAGAACCACCATTAACAAACTTGAATAGTGTTTTTTGAACTAAAACCAAAAAGCTCCTCCGAGGTCTACTGCTAAATAGTAACTATGCAACCTATTCCTTTGGAATGACATACTTTCATCATGAAGCCTCATTGACCTGGATAATGAATACCTTTGTTCAATCTTGAAATCTCTATCTTGATCTTTATATTCTCATTGTTAAGGTTTAAAATTCTCCACATCTGAGTCCAATACAGCAATGAGACAAAATGCACAAGAAGAAATAATGAAGGGAGAAACAAACTTGTACGGGAAAGTGGACATAAACCAGCAACAATAGGAGAAGAAAAAAGGTGAATAAAAATACATAAGATTAAAGGATAGTGAAAGAAGTTGGTGATACAGAAAAGGAAAGGAAGATAAAGAGAGAACAGATGTACAATGAAATGCAAAGACACAGAAGAAGAAATCAGCCAAGATGAAAGAACCAGAAATGAATCAGAAATCAAGGCATAATTGAAAGAAAATGAACTAGCAGAAATCATAGGAGAGAGAGTTTCCTGTCATCATATATCCACAGTCAGCCTTTAGTTGCAAAAAAAATTTCCACTAGTAGTGTACACTGTACCCACAGTTGTTTAATATAAATTTAGCTGATGACAGTGTTCAATGCTAAAATGGAGGGGAAAAAAATATCCACTCAAACTATCCTAGGTCTCATAGCTAGCTATATTCAAGGAGATGCCTGAAATACAAGTAGCCAAAATTGGAAAGAATAAGCCTTCTTGATCAGCTTTATATGTTCACTGCACGTAGAATTGGCAGAAAAGATAACTAGTCTAATGCATACAATAAACACAGGATGATGCTCAAGATTATGATGTGGATGGCACAGCGCATGCACTTGAAATATAAAATATATACCTGGGCAATCACAAACTCATAGTTGCTCTTAAAGCGCTTCCTTAATTCGCTCTCGGATTTAGCCAGAATATTGTGTGTACTGCCATTACTGATTCCCGATATAAGAGCAATCAAAGCAGTAGTATCAAAATTTATGAGATCAGCTTGAAGCGACAAGTCCTTTTGTGGAGCAAATTCAGCGTCATTGACATTGACATTGACATCCAAGGGGCCTAATTTCATTCTAGAAATGAGAGAGAAGAAAGAGGTAGCGAAGTTGAAAGGAATGCAGTCTTCTTTGGTGGGGGTTGCAGCAGCAGCAGCAGACAGGAGCAGGAGTGAATCCTTTAACCCCCCACATTCTATCTGTGGAATGGGATCCCTATCCCTACCCCTTGAAAGATCAATCTTTATTTGAAGGACACACAGAGACGGAGGAGGAAGAGGAGGTGGAGGTGGATATATCCAGTCACCACCACCACCACCACCCTCTAATTCCTTAGAAAGATGGAAATGGGGAAAGTGGAAACCCAAGTCAGAGGAGGCTCCAAATTCATGTTCAAGCTTAGAGCGAATAGTGTCATCAAGTCCATTTGAGAAGAAAAGGATGATTGAACAAGGTTTAGTTGATGGGGGGGAGTGGGAAGCCGCATCAAGAAGTTGTTGAATTCGAGTTCTTAAAAAGAAGGTCTTCTTCTTCTTCTTCTTCTTCAAGTTATTAGTATTAGTATTAGTATTATTATTATTTGCACAAGAAGAGGCATTATAATTGTTATTATTCCAAAAGATATAGTTGGGATTTCTAGCAGAAACAAGGAACCAGACTGGGTTTCCATTGAGACTGCATACTATATCAACATGTATTTTTGAATTTTTATTGAGGAGATTCGAAGAAGAAGAAGAAGGAGGCAAAGGTGGGAGAGGAATGGGCTTACAAACACGAGACACCCCTTTCACAAATGGCTGCTGGAGGATGTGGACCACTGCCTCAAGATGACCAATGTTCAAACTGCGTGAATTCAAATTCAAATTCAAATTGGGAAGAATGGGTAAACGAGAAAGGAAAGAGAGCTCGGACTGGGCAAGTCTGAGAAGGGTTCGGTTGCAGGAGGAGGAGGAGGAAAGAGATGAGCATGAGGATGAGCTGAGTATTCGAATTCGATCTATAACAAGTCTGCATCTTTGCTTAGCCCTTTCTATTTCTATTCCTATTTCTATTTCATCTCCTCCGCTCAAACCCACCACCGCCTCCTCCCTCTCCATCTTTGTCTTCATCCTTGTCCCCCAATCCACCATTTTCTTTTTTATACTCCCTCATTTTATCCTTTATTTATTTTTATTTTTTTATATTTTGAGTTACATTTTTTTTAAGTGACAACAATACAAAATTAAATATTTGAAGCATTTACAAAAAAAAAAAAAAAAAAAAAGAAACATAAGGCACCAAAGGGGAAAGGATTAGAAGGCAATAACATAATCAATAACAAAGAGTTCATTGATAATCACGCTTCCGTTTAACCGTTCATCAATGGATTCAGGTATGTCATTTTGTCTTGATTTCTTGATAATACACATGGTAAATGATCCAAAGTGTAAAGTTTATGTTCTGAAATTTATGTTAACAAACTTGCCTAAATTTACTACACTAATTTGATATGTAGTAAATTAATCATTTTGTAAATGAGAATGAGAAGGTGAATAAAGTGAGATTTTTTTCTCTCTAAGTCACAATAGTTAAGAGATACGTTTAATCAAAATAATCTCAAATTTATATGGTGCAACTTTATTGAATTGGAAAAAGTATACATTATTATGCTGTGTTTGGTTGGGAGATTTGAGGAGGGATTTGAAAATGAAAAGGGAAAAGGTGTGTGAAACTAGGTGAAATTTAGGCATGTTTTATTCACATTTCACCTACATTTTCTATTTCCCTTTCCAAATCCCTCCTCAAATCCTCCAACCAAACACAGCATTAGTGTATTTATCCATTGTAGGGTTTTTTTGTCCCTACATTATTAATTAACCTGTCAGTTTCAAAAGCCCAACACCATAAAATTTCATTTTCTTAAAACATTTAATATATGACATGGGATATTTCAGTATGATGTCATTAGGTCCTAAGTTTCTCCATTGACAACAAAATGAAATGAATGCTTTTGGTGACAAAATAAATAAATAAGTAGACACAAGTGAAAGAAGGATCAGATAGAGCCAACCACTTCCTAGTTCTGTACATTTTGCATTATTAGATAAAAAGAATGCTATTATGGTGTGGTGAGGGCATATACGCAGGCACTAATAAATCACTTTCAAACACTAATATCAATCATCATCTTCATTCCCAAGGCTCAAAGGCGAAGCTTATAAAAATCACCAATCTTATGTTGGCCTTGCCATCCTTTCCATGGCCAAAGAAATTATGTGAATGTTAAAAGCTCCATTGGCAAATGCCAACCAGCATATGCCCATGCATGCACAAACAAACATAGACACAAAATCAGAGAGAGAGAGAGAGACAGAGAGAGAGACAGAGAGAGAGAGTATAATTTGCAGGAAAAAAGGAATACCGACCAAGAAAATTATCACGCCTTCATTTAAATAGTCAATTTTACACAACAGGACATGTGCAACGCTTTTCTATCAAACAAATGGACAATTGAGCTCGCTTCCATTTAATGAGAAGGAAAAAAAAAAAAATAAGAAGAAGAAAAAAGCACACATTAGTTGAGAATTGGAAGGATAAAATTATTCCTTTTCCTGGAATAGTAAGTTTACACACAGCAGGGACTTGTACAAAGCTCTTTTACATGTGAGACAAGAACCTCTCAAGGAAAAAGGACCAAAAGATATCTGTAAAAAGAAAAACAGCAATGTAGACCTTTTTGGTACAACAGTAACTGAAGAATTATTTTCATTGTCGCAAGTCGCCAATTCCTTGCTTGCAATTATCCCATCCCTGTACGGCGGCAGGCACATACGACAGGAGAACGCTACCATAAATGGCTTATGTTCTATCACCCTTGAGCGTGTTTGAGCTGTTTTGCCCCTTACTACTTATGTTCTCATCATTCCAAGATACATGCACTGGGGGAAGTTGATAATCATCGGGTTTCAGGGCCAAAGCAAAATCAGGTAATGTAGGAGCTGTCTCCATGATTCTGTAATCAACAATTACGATGTAAGTAATTCTAGCAAAGAGGCAAATCCTGCTCAAATGTATTTTAATTATGCATGAGATCATCTGCAGTGCCATGCATATATACCAAATATAGCAATAATGGTAAAGACCAAGTGATGGCACAACTCTAAATTGGATAGAGGTCCATCATCTGATTTGGAAACCTAGGGTGAAGCCTGCGGGTCCATTGCATAGACTGAAAAGTTTTTGGTCTAATAAATGTAATTAGTAGATTATTATTGTTAATATCTTAGTTAGGATTTAAATAATTATTAGTTAGGGTATTTTGATTATGTAATCAAATATTATTAGGGTTTTAATTTCCTATTTTTATTAGGATTATTACTTATTAGCCTACAAATTGAAATTTGGTTTAACAATATTGCGGGTGTTTATATGGTTGTAGCCTCTTGAGTGTTTCTTCGCTCTTTCTCCTACGACATTCTACACCACTTTTTTTTTTTTGTTTTGTTGGGGGGGAGGGGGTGGTGTTCTTTTTATTTAAAAGAGCAGCCTGAATGGAGATTCCTACTGCATTTTGCACAAATTGAAGCCCAGTATTGCCACTTAAGACTGAAGAGAACCCAGTCATAAAGTACAGTGCACAAAAGATATCTGTGCCAGTGACTGGGAATCCATGTGAATTGACCAAATATAAGAGCGCAAAAAAAGTTCATTGATGGAAACCCATGACGCTATTCTCCATGGGATAGTACTGATTATTTAATCATTATCCACATTACAATCAGTAACTGAAACTAGAAGGAATTGCAATCCGATATCAAGCTTAATACACAAAAGCAAAGACTTACTTCTCATAGGAATACAGATCCCGGTTTATTCGCACCTTACTTGATGTATCCTTTGGAATCTTCTCAGAGAGATACTTCATGGTTCCCCAAAGAGGGGGATTTCTGCACCAAAAATGGCAATTAGGAGGTTTGTATAATGCAATATCATCTACGGTACAAGGTGAAGCATTCCCATCTCCACCCTTGCTGGCGAAGTAAGTAGACAGTAAATGAGAACAATTACTTCTTCAGAAAGTAAATTTTGCATTGCAACGATCAAAAGGTTAAGTCAAATGACAGAGGTTCAATGAGCAGTAACAGCAAATTGACACAATACAGTAACAGCACGTTCAACATGTTAAGGTATCTGTGAGAGGGATTTACAATGTAAATTGACCAAAAACTGATTATGAAATTCTCTTTATATACCATCATAACATTGTTAAAACAACATCGGTACAGCGACTTAAATATATCACTTGTTTTTTCACCGTTTTATATCACCAGAATACATGTCAAGATATCATTTTCTTTCAGTAATTACTTAGTAATTATCTCAAAACAAGAGAACCAATCATGAGTACCCATGTGGGAGGTGATACAAATTGGTGACAAAAAATCAGTGACATAGCAATTCTCTACTGATCTTTGCTTCCAAACAGCAAGAAAAGAGCAATGTGCCACTTGCCGAACTTAAATACTAGATAGAATCTATGGATTTGACGCTCCCTTAGTGAAATAGAGGGGAAATCGTCGGATCATTGGCTGGGAGGCTAGTAGGATTTGAAATCGAACTCCGAATCCTAGAGTCCAGAGAAGTCAAGAAATTGCAACTAGGTTCATCTGATTATATCAGATCGCAAAGAAAATGAAACCACTGAAAAAATGGGGTTTCCTAAACTTCTAAAAGTAGAACAAGCAGGAGCTTTGCATGGTTTTCTCTAACTTGATTCAATGGTCTACAAGAAGGGAGTATAATTTTTTTGATATCAAAGAAAAGCAAAGTATACATCATCAGAATTAGTATTTAAGAAGATTACTAAATATTGTATTAAGAAAAAAAGGGATCTTGTGAACATATTCTAGTAAATCCAGAAGGCAAGAACAATTCTGAATTTAGCAGTGCTATTAATCAGGCCATGATTTAGGCACCAATTTCCAACTGTATTTCTCGTTCACAAAGAATGGCCTTAAAAGCCAAAGCTGACGGAGATGGTAAAGTAAAGTGTTATATTTTAAATTGTGAACACACCCCTTCACATGTCACGAAACTCCAGGACTGGGAGGTGTTGGGATTCAGAAGCAGGATCTGCATACTCCAGTATTATGTTAACAACCAACTGCTCCAAAAGTTTTAAGTGAATAGAAAGGATATACTTGCATGTTCTGCATACTCCAGTATTATGTTAACAACCAACTGCTCCAAAAGTTTTAAGTGCATAGAAAGGATATACTTGATGTCTTTTTATTTTTTATTTATTTATGTAAGGCTCATAAGCAAATCAGATTTCCTGACATCTTCAACACCCAAGATGTTGTTCTAACTGTATCTGTGAATCTGCAGAATGCATTTAAGGAACCAAAGAGGAAGGAAAACCATAACTGGAAAGACAAGAGCTTTCTCAAACATCATACCTAGAAACTTGTTCATCTGCCTGAATCCAAGTATTTCTAATAAAACAGATAGCCACAAATGCCCAGTGGAGAAATACAAAGACAGATTCATAGCAGAGGGTTCCACTCCAATACATGGAACTTATTATGCAAAAAACTTTTTGACTGGCCTTTTGAAAAGTTTATATGTGCAGATGCTAAAGTTCGAACATGAAGATGTCCCCTGATTGGAATCTTTACACAAAATACAAATGTGAATTTGAACCTTGCTTGATGCCTGCAGAAGATGTCATCAAGGCAAAAAAAAGATCCATTATGGAGAAAATTCCAATTAGGATGTATGCTGGATGGAGGCAGGGTACCTAAGCCAGAATGAGCAGCAAAGAGGAGCTTTATGATGGCTGTGGAGTAGACATAGGGGGAAAAAAGAGACAAAGATCCTCTTCTTGTAGATATTGAAATCAGCTAATGTTGTTTGTTCCATTGGGAAGTACTACCACACTCATGGCAGCGGACATGAAGGTGGTCAACTCACTCATCAAGTCAGTGTTGTCTACACTAGTCCGTCCCTCTTTTTGGCTCCCTTCTAAGGGGTTAACTACTCTTGACAACTGGCAGTTAATATGTGATTTGAAAGCACAGGATGTTATCTCTTGGGGACATTTTATTTATTTATTTTTTTTTTTCTTTCCAGTGCAACACAGGAAAGCACCCTCTTTTTGTCATCCCTGCAGCTTTCCAGATTTGTATTGAACCCGTGGCGTAGCTAGGACCCTCATGTTTGAGCCTATGCTCAAACCCACCTTCTATTTGAGTAAGACTGGAAAGAATGCCCGCCAAATTCAAATAAGGGAATCCTTCCCCCCAATCATTCAAGGAAAAGCTCGATGAAGGGAGGGAGATGCAGTGGGGTAAGAAAAATGCTTTTGGAAATCAAGATATGATTTGTTTACATAAAAAAATGAAGAAGGTCAAGTATGTCCTAGGGTGCGTGTTATCTAAAGGGCCATTTTGGCTTCTGCTTATATATATATATATATATATATGTATTTACTCAAATTTTGAAAATTGAACATAATTTTCCTTGTGTAGCTGTAACTTGTAAGTTTTATGTAGTGTTTACTTGAAGATATGAATTATATAATTTTAGTTTGTTTAATCAAATAAATGGATGGTTTTATTTTTATTATTTATTTATTTAACATATGTAACATGGAAGTTTGAAACACAACACTAATAACAGAATAAATAATAATAAAGTGATGTATTATGAATTTATGACACATGAAATCATTAAGAAAATTCCTTTTCAAAGCTACTTAAATATAGTACAAAATTTAGTACATATATTGGACCATGTAAAAATATACAAAATCCACAAAAATTTTGAAATAAAAATATTTGTATCAGTAAGTTTATGTGAAGTCATGTGGAAAAATAATTTCACAGCTCTGATTGCCACAACCATTATGCTACACCCATTACTTCCCTACTTTGTGTCACTGCCTCCATCATCATTGCAGATACCACAACCGTTACTTGACACCTTGTTTCAAATGTAGGGACTAATTTAATAGCTAAAAGATGATTTTACGGTTGAAAATAGTGGCTTCTAAGATCTGGTCAGAGAATATGTTGGAAATTACTTGAAGAAGAAGAAGATGCGCTCTAAGGGGCTTACTCTCACAAGAGCTAAGAAAACCATATACATAACACACTAAATAATTCTCCAAAACTCAATTCTTATTGCATAGAAAGATTATAAAGGTATATAGGGGATAGAGTCCAACTTACTCCAACCATGACTAGAACTTCAAAATAGGAAACCTTTGACTTTCTTGACTTCTAAAGTACTTTAGATCTAGCAAACCCATATATAACAACTCATTTAATAACTTGACCCAAAACAAGATCCACATATCCATATCACAACCCAAGTCCAACAAACATTTTTTGGAAATAAAACTGCCTCTCTCGTTCAGGCCCCAGGAATCCCTTGCTTTTGGCGACGGTCTTTATTTACCTTTTTTTTACCACTCCCCCCTATCACAACAAGGCCGGAAGAAAGTTTTGATTTCCCAGAGTTATTTACCAAGCTTGGGACTAGTGGAACATTTTAGGAATTTGAGGTATCGCTTGAAGTAAGGATGAAGTCTCATTCATATAGTTATGTCCCTAGCTTGCGCCCCAACATTTCACATATAAAATGTTGTAGTTATTTGAAAGTTAAGAGCATAATTGAAATTGAAGATGACACTCAAGCTGACCCTAGCAAATCATAACATACCGTGCTTCAAAAAACAAATCCCACACGTTGAGTGAAAACCACAATAGAAAATTGACCCATTGGTTTTGCCAACAGAAATTTCAACAGATAACATATGTAAAGTTACAACAAATATAGCAAAGGGAAAGGTGTTACATGTTCTATTTTGTCTGTCTCCATACTATGTTGCCTGACACAGTTTGTCTGAAGTGAGGGGGGCAAACAACCTCTTAAATTAACCCTAGTCCTATAGATTTCTCATCCAGCACTTTTCAAATAGTCTTCAATCATGAGGGGAAAAAAAGATAACTGATAAATAAAATTAATTCCCGGTAGCAAAGAAAATAGGGATTTCAGCAGATTACCGTGAAAGAGGAGGAACTGTGTTGAAAGCTTCAGATGCCTTCTTACTCTCTTTGAGATACTCATCTGCCGCTTGCAAAGCAGCTACAGCCATCCCATGGGATTTCTCTGTGTTTCCCTCATCAAGGATCAAACCGTGATAATAATATGCTGCAGCCTGGGGACAAAAGTATAAAAACTATGCATCACTCTAAACAAGAATAGCAAAAAATATATAATTAGGAATTGATGGAAATTCTAAATACTAAAAAACAAAATGAACAGAAGAGGCCATGTTCTGTTATAAAGGTGCTCCAATTCCAAAGAATGCTGGTGGCCTTTTGTTTACCCATTCCCTATGCTACCGTGTGTCAATCTGCAACAACTAATGCTGGTGTGATTTGTACTCCCTTTGAGAGAACTGGAGATCAACTAGCAAACATCTCAACTAAAAGAGTATCTACTATCTACTATTCTGTTTTACCCAGTTCCTGACAAACTAGGTATTCAAAATATCTTTGTTCCAGCTTGAGGGAGGGAGGGTGGGTCGACTATGCTTTAACTTGCTTACCATTCCTCCTTGTATTAGTCAAGAGGGCATTTTAGTAATTTTGCCAGCTGGTATAAATACAAGGGATTAAGGCAGAGAACAGTAATTTTAGTTCTCTCCTTTTTCTCAACATGTGCCTATTCTCTCTATTTTCTTGTTTTTCCTCCATAATCAACTTAAGTTCCGTTTTGATTAAAGTTTTAGTATGATGTTCACGACCGAGCTACATTTTGATCAATTATGATTTGTCAAAAGACTTAATGCATTGATAGTTTGGGTTATCCATTGATGAGACCTATACTTGTTCTTTGTTGATTTTCTTGTGTTTCACTTCTTGAGTGATGAAATGGTTGTTGTTTGTGAGCCAATAATATATTTATATTTCTTAATCCCATCATTTCATAGTGGAAGATTGATTTGGAGTTTGACCAATGTAGTATGTAGGCCCATTGCCAAACCATGTAAATTTGGTGTCTTGTGCTTACTTTTATTTGCTTTGAATTTCAGCACCTTGTTGTTATTGGTATATTTGCTCGTTCTCTATTCACATAGAGGGAAAATATAGTAGTTTCTCCCTGTGGAGGGAAATCCCACATTGCCTGAATACTAAAGTAATGTTAAGCATATAAGCGTGAGGGCACTCTCACCTCAATAGCTAGTTTTTGGAATTGAATTCTACCCAATACCATGTAACATGATATCAGAGCCAACGTACTCAAGGATGGGTAAGGTGCATGTCTCTGACCTGCACGTGAGGGAGGGTGTGAAGCGAAGTCCCACATCTGAGTACTAAAGTGATGTTAAGAATATAAGCGTAAGGGCGCCCTCACATCAACAGATAGCTTTTGGGGTTGAGCTCTACCTAATACCGTGTAACATTCCCAACATGACGGACTTGGCTCAAGCCCAATTGGGACAGGCCAGGCCAGGCCAGGCAGCTAAATTTACATGCCTAGAGTCTACATACAGCTTCAACATACATAAACAAAGAAAGTAGACTAATAACTGAAACTGAATGATAAAAAGAATAAACAACAAAGAAAGCAACAAAACAATCAAAAGATACCTTTGCTTCGATGTATTTCCACTTAACAAAGAGCCGATGCTTTTCTCCCCAACCATTTGATAGTGGAAGGTTCATTATGTTATCTTGAGCCTACAACGTGAGAAGCAAAGACAAAGCAACACATGTTTTAGGTGCATCTCTATATTTGTCAACAGACAACATAAAAACAGTATGATTAATGCACAAGGTCCATGATGGATAATCAATAGCATGTACGTGTATGACAGACAAAAACAGGTTAATAACTTGTTGTTAGAGAAATTTTTTTGACAAATTAATGACGCCAGAACAAATAAAATCATTATTCCCTTTGTCCCAACCAATGTTTCCAGAACTACACTCTTTGACCAACCCACAGATGGGATTGGTCACAAGCCAGCTATTCAATAGTCGGTTTGTGTGACAAACGCATGATATCATCCCATGAAAAGAAATAGTAGAATTATGTACAATCCTAAATTTATGGAGAGTTTTGGTTTCTACAATTAGCTATAGCCTTCACTTGCCCATTTTCCTACCAGTTAAAGATCCCAAAAAGCCAAAACCTTATAAATCATCAGATCATTGACAGTAACATAATTTGAACATCAGCATCCATACTTAAGAAAGACAAAATTGTGGGGCACCATGCGCAAGCCGCTCTTCAATCTCCTGGTGAGTTGGATGGGAACAAGACACAGTGGGTTATCTATGAAGCAAGAGATAGATAACGTGTGCAGCGGCGGTCAGCAAGATGGAAACGGCAGTATTTATCGAAAGGAGGTAGACTAATGTTGATTAAGAGTGTTCTATCCAACATTCTGACTTACTTTATGTCCGTCCATGTGATTCTGGTGGTAGTGGCAAAGCGGATTGAGAAATTGCAAAGGGATTTCTTGTGGGGTAGTGGGGGGGAGGGTTTTCATTATCACTTGGTGGCTTGGGATCGGATTTGTCATCCCAAGGTGAATGGGGGTTTGGGGATTCGAAGGTTGGTCTTGTTCAGTGTGGCCCTGTTAGGGAAGTGGTTGTGGTGTTTTGTGGAGGAGCAGGATCGTCTCTGGAGAAGGGTGGTGGTAGCGAAGTTTGGTGTAGAGAGGGGAGGGTGGTGTTCAGGGCGGGTGGGGCAATCTCATGGTCATGGTCTATAGAAAGGGATTTGGCTGGGATGGGAAAAGTTTTGGAAGAGAGTGAAGCTAAAGATAGGGGTGTGAGATAGAGTTCGGTTTTGGCATGATAGGTGGTGTCATGACCTCACTTTAGAATTGCGGTTCCCCTTGATTTTTGGTATTGCCAATGACACTGAGGTGATGGTGGGTGTTGTGCGGTTTGGCCAAGGGGTTTCGACTGTTTGGAATGTGCGCCTGCACCGTAATGTACAGGATTGGGAGCAAGATTAGTTGGTGGAGCTATTGGGTTGTTTATATGAGTTACGAGTAGGGGAGGTTGGGCAGGATTCTTTAGGGTTGGTTTGGCATAAACTAAATAATACAAAAAGTTAAAAAGTCACTATCCTATTTAAATCACATCACCTCTCTAACACATCACATCAAACCCAACCCAAACCCAACCCATATAAGCCAATAAGTCAAAAAGTGTACTTTTTTAGAACATCCCAAACCAACCCTTAGTATGGGAATGTCCTGGGGACGTTTTCTGTATCTTCTTATTATGGTGTGCTTGCTCATGAGGAGGCGGTTGCTTTCCTTGGAAGTGTGTCTGGGTCTCGGGTACGCCATCTAAGGTGGCCTTTTTTGTGTGGATGGCCATGTTGGGGCATATCTTGACTATGGATAATTTAATTCGTCGGGGCCACATATCGGTTAATTGGTGTTGCTTGTGTTGTGGTGATGCGGAGTCGGTGAATCATTTGTTCGTTCATTGTCTGGTTACTTCTCGACTTTGGGTACTAATTGTTGCGACTTTTGGATTGACTTGGGTGTAGCCGAATTCGGTTAAGGCAGTCATGCAAAGCTGGGTGGGGGGTCAAGTTGGAAGGAGCCGTCAGAAGGCGTGGATGCTTAATTATCATTGTATTCTATGGTTGGTTTGGTTGGAACGGAATAGGCGTGTTTTTCAAGAGGTGTCCCATTCAGTCCCTTGGGATAGCTTCTTACAGTTTTACATAGTTGGGTGACAAGTTCAATTGATCCTGATGTTTTGGCTTTTGTAGATTTTGTGAAGGATTTGATTTGTTAGTCCGTTGAGCCTCTATGGCTTCCATTGTTGTATTCTTTGCATCATCTTGATGCCTTTTAATAAAGTGTGGTTCTTTATCCAAAAAAAACAGAAAAGAAAAAGGAGATAGATAAGTATAACGGAACTGGAAGCATAACAAAATATGATAAAAACAGGCTTACCTCATAGCTTAAAGGCGCAGGATGTATGCTAGTTGTTAGAGTTGACTAATTGCTTTCACTATCTGTTTTGAAGAGCATGAAATGAACTGATATCCTGATCCGACCAAAGTGGATTCCAAAATCTAAACCTTCCTAAATCAGGAACTGTTTTCACACCATTGACCGAAATTGACTCATCTCAATCTTTAAGGAAGAGATCGACGATCCCAAGTTATTTTACTCCATTAAGTGAGTCCTTTCCACTAGACAAGTCCTAGGAGGTGAGAACCCTATCCGGCTCTTCACCTTATTCTAATTGATGAACACGGAGGTTGCGGTTTCTCGGGTTGAATAAGCCTTAAAGGAAGCAAATAGGTCTCAAAGGTTCCATTGAAAAGAAATGGTTTCTCAAAGGGGTCAAGTCAAGGAAGATCATAGTGGTCAAATGAAAATGAATTTTTTTGGGTCGAGTCAATCAATTTAGTTCTAAGATAGAAGAACGGAAAGGGATAACTGTGAAAAAATCAAGAGAGCAAGAGTATGGCATAGAAGTAAAAAGAGACAATCCGAAACTAGTTGGATTTGATATCAAGAGAGAGCATTACCTAAACCACTATATCCAAAAAATGAGGCTTGAAAGAGGATAATCAAATGGTTTTTTAGAGTGAATGCAGTCAGGTGGAATTATACATCAAAGCACACACAAAAACCCAGAAGGGTAGATTCATTTATAGGTGATGAGAGAGTGGAAACCTTCATATTAGAAATTGAATTGGGACAGCCCAGCAAACCTGCAATCGTTTCAAATGGACCATGGTTTAACCAATCCATTTGGAGAAATCTATTAAAAGAACACATTTTTTAAAAGGAAGAGATTTTGGAGATTATTCTGGACAGGTGACCAATTTCAGGTGTAGAACCAGAATTTTGAAACATAGGTCCCTATAATAAAGGATAGAACTCACAGGGCACAATAAAAATCGTGAAAACTGTGCAGTGTATTGTAAAGTAGGACAAAAACTAACTCATAAACTGACTAGTTACCAATTCAGAAAAGCTAAAGGGAGGGTTTGATATCTTTCAAATTAGAAATTGGAATTAGTTGGGGCCCCGCAAGTGGACGGTGGGATCGGTCCCCAGGAATAGTCGGTCCAATGGGCTGGATACCAAGTTATCAAAAAAAATATTAGAAATCGAGTTGGGACTGTTCAGCAGACCCACAACAGTTTCAAATGGACAATGGTTTAACCAATCCATTTGGAGAAATCTATTAAAAGAACACATTTTTTAAAAGGAAAAGATTTGGAGATAAGATAACCTATTTTAGGATATTTCTTCGAGAATATATTTACATGATTGGGTTACAGATGAGCTGGTGAGTTTCTTGAGGTGCTTAATCATGCATCTAGCAAGATGTATTCGGAGAGGGGTAACAAGATGAGATGGAAATTATCAAGGTTAGACCATTGTGAGCTGAAATCTTTCTGTGGTCACTTGGTGGGATACCAAGAGGATTTTTTCCTTGAAGTCTCTTAAGGCCCCCTCCTAGTTGCTTTTTATGGATGGTATGAGACACATGGAAAGATTCTCACTATTGATAAGCTCTTCCCTAGATGATTGTTTATTGGTCATCTTCTTTTTTATTGCTCAATGGCTAGAGAGTCTTGGGTGTTGATCCTCCCTTTGTTTAGGTTGCATTGGGTGATCCAAGGTCGAGGATGCGATATATAGTTGGAGAGGAGGTAGGGTGTGGAAGAAAGACAACAAACTTGGCTTTTGGCTCCTTTGTGCCTAATGGACTCATTTGCGGAGACCAGAACAGTAAATCATTTAAGGGAGTGGAGGTTCTTTTGTATAGGTTCAATAGTAATTTCCATCGTTTTGTATTAGTTCGGTCTTGGAAAAGTCTCCCCTTCTCTTTAGCAATTTTTGAACTTTTGGCCTCCTTCATTATCGATGAAAAATAAATCAAATCTTGATCTCTAAAAGCATTATCATTATAGAGCACTTTGATATGGCAAGAGGTGTATATTGTGTCACTTTTGTTCCTTTGTGCCTCATAAATAATATTTATTTCACTCTTCAAAAAATATATATATTCATATAATTAGTAGTACAATAATAACTACCCTATTGATAATTGATCCCAAAAAAGAAAAAAAGAAAGAAAGAAAGAAAGAAAGAACAATCATATTATTCCCACAATGCAAGACAGCTGGAAGCCACAAAAAAGGCATGTTAAATTGATAATCACAACCCCAATGACTTATATCTGTAAGTAAGAGCTTAGAAACAACAGTGAAAGGTAATGCAGTAATACCTGCTGCCAGTACTTTACCATCTCACACGCTATTCTTCGCTTCACTGCAAGCGTGGCCTTGGTACTATCAATTGCTAATCCAAGTTGGATATCAACAACCTAAAACAGCCATTGAAAAAACATATTAAAAAATGATAAAACAGTGTAGTTCCCATGTAAAGTCAGTTTCCAGAATAAATTTAACAATGCAAGTACTCCATTCAACTTGAACCAGTTGACTTAATAATACGACCCACTAAACCAACAACAGGAAGTCGATTGCATATAAATCATCAGTGAGAAACTGGTAAGGATATGTCTGATATGTTCCCAATAATGCTGCTCATCATTTTAGAGTTTGTGAAAATAAATGAGATATGTAACATTTTGTAGATAATTTAAGTAAGAATATGAGGTTTTACTGGCCGTAAGAAGCTTTTCCGAAGAATAACTTGCATGAATTTGTGAAAAGCATTTGCGAGTACTAAAACGAGTAGTAGTCATAGAAGAAAATTGCAGAGACAAAAAAATAAAATAATAAAATAACTAACATTCGAGAGTTTAACCATCCAAAAATCTTGTTTTGTTGTAATCAACCCTACTTCATAAGAGTTTCAACCGATATCAAATTACAAATTCACTTCCATATCAGCAAGATTCAATACCAATATATATTACAACATACAAATCAATTAGAACTTAAAAGGTTATTGAATGCGACTTGTTATAAATATGAACCTTCGCTTACCATATTTTAATATATATCACCAATCCATATAATGACAGGCAATACTGGAACTTTATTGTTCTTTACCTTTAATTTTATTGTTTCGTAAATAGAATAAAGTGGCAATGAAAATATGATTCCTTGGGATAAGAAATCAAAAGGTTTGCTAGCTTTCAGTGATATGACCTGAATAGTTGAATACACTTTTTTATCAAATAAAATACAGAGCTCAATATTTTGGCCCCGTTTGGTAGAGCTGTGGGAAAGTGATTATAGATTATACCTTAACGGATTATACCTTATAGTTGTGATGTGAACATAAGCTGGTAACCTGTTTGGTGTAGCTGTAGGATTATAGATTTAAGCAACAGAATAGTGTTTAGTAAATAAGCTGTAAAATAGTTTTTTGCTCTATGTAATTGTCATTTTCGCCCTTATGAACATAAAAGTTGTTATTTTTTCATTTTCTTCAATTTTAATTTTAAAAAAAATTTATTTCATTAATGAAAGTTAATATAATTAGTATCAATTAATATAAAAATTGATATAATTCATTACAACAATTGTTATTTCATTTTTTTTTATTTCATTTAATAAAATTTATTTCATTTTTTTTCATTAATATCAATTAGCAACAAATTTTTTTTTATTACAATACCAAAGAATTTTATATCAATATAAAATTCTTTTAATAGAAGTTATTTAATTGAAATAAATTTATATCAATATTAATTGAAATAAATTATGCAATTTATATCAATATTAATTGTGAAATAAATTTATATCAATCTTTTCTTTTTCTCCTTTTTTTTTTTCTCTTCTTTTTTTTTCTTCTCTTCTTTCTTTGTTAATTTTGTTTAATTTATTAATTCATTAAAATTAATACCAATTAATATTCATGTTCTAATTTATATTAATGTTGTGATTTTTTTACATATTATTTGTTATTTAATATAAAAATTGTTATTTTATATATATATTTTTTCATTATATATTATTTGGTATTTTTAGTATAAAAATTATTTTAGTGTGATTTAATATAAAAATTGTTATTTATATATATATTTTTATCTTAATGTTGGGTACAGGCTGGAGATGGCTCGCCGTCGCCGTCGCCGTCGATGACCTAGCCACCGTCAAAACAACACCGAACTCTGGTTTGACCAGATCGCGACCAGAACCCTAGCCTGGTTGTCCGACCAGATCGCGAAGAGAGAGAGAGAGAGAGAGAGAGAGAGCGCTCTGGTTTGTTGAGAGCTCTGGTTCTCCGACCAGATCGCAATGCTCTGGTTAGGGTTTCAAATCGCGATGGCGGTGGTGAAGGAGAGAGAGTTTCAGATCAAGAGAGAGAGAGAGAGATATCGCGAAAAGAGAGAGAAGAGATATCGAAGAGAGAGAACTCTGATTTGCCTCCGCTGGAAATCACTCTCGTCAGAAATCTCTGCTGGAAATTGCCTCTGTCTCTCTCTCTCTCTCAAGTGAGCAATGAACAGTGTTTTGTGAAATGAGATTTATATAGTTGGGTTTTTGGTAATAGTTGAGTATTAACGAGAGCATTTAAGTAATTTTAGCCCCCCCCACACACACACCCAACACCAGCTGCACGCTTAAGTCGAAATCTTAAACACCCCCTAACCAGCTTTTGAGATAAGCTGAAACATAGCATGATTTAAGGTATAAGCTAGCTAACTTAAGCTACACCAAACACAATATTTTAGCTTAAATTAAGCTAAAAGCTGAAATAAACAGCTTATAAGCCCTATCAAACAGGCCGTTTATATACGTATTAACTATGTATGGTTTTCTGATACTCTATGGTAATATTATTCTTACTATCTACAACCTGACAACAAAAGAGAAATGATTTAGAGCCAACAAAACTTTAATCGTTCAAAAAGTTAAACACATAAGATACACAATCCCAAGCTACCCCAACAATACAATTTTGACTATGCTTTGGCTCATGAGGCATACACCTACAGAGACCCTTTTATTTTTAAACCCCTCAAGGAATTGAGTATCAATTCCCCTTAAGACAAGTTTTGAATCAATCCATAGGACAACTTTCTACAACTATTTATTTAGTATGATAGATCATACAATATTATATGTAATAAACTTTAAGATCAGATTTTGTTCTGAATCATTTTGTTGCCTATTTCATTGTTTCAGCTATTATTTTCTATTTTGTTTTTTCATGTTGCTATTCTTTTATTCTTGAATTTTTGTCCATTTAAGACCACCAACCAATATGTGCTATCTTGGGTCAACTTGGTGCTGACCTCCAGCTTTATTTAAAATCGAAAGCAAACTATATAAGCTCAAGATTAAACATGATACCCACAAATTGAACAAACCATGGGTATTGGTAATCCTTCATACCCTTCAGAAAGCAGCTAATTATGAAACTAGGAATTCACAATTTAATTATGGCCTAACAAATTTCAGCCTTTGAAAAAAAAAAATTTAAGTGCAAACAATGAAGTGTACAAAATCAGATTGAAGTTCTAGATTCCAGTTCATTTACATTGACAGGCTAAGTACATTCATTCAAATTATGACTGTCATGTGAGTAGAATTTGAAAAATGTCATTTTACATGTTGATAAAGCAAATAAAACAATTCAAAACTTTTTATCCTCTTTACAGCTACTGTGTCAATTTTATTTAACTTCTTAATTTAATCATCTCTGTGATAAACTGGCACATTAGTATTTGTATCATAAATCTGTGAAATAAAATTCCTCATGATTGCCTGTTGCAACTTGATTACTGCCAAAAGAAAGACAGATCATTTGTGGAATCAGTTGAATGATAGTCAAACCTAGAGCATGGTTAGAAACGTAGTAGTGTAAACAGATTATTTACAAGTAAGTATATTGGATTGTGTCCATGGGCATGCTCATCTGTTGGTATGAAACCTAAACAACTTAACAGTTTAACTAAAACCACCAAGACACCAAGTACCTGCCCTAATGCTTGAAGGCAAAGTGCTCGTAGAACTCCTTCAGCTAGGTCAACTGGTAGATCTCTCCTAAAATCAGAACAAGAGTCAAATGAGTAACCTTGCAGTGTATGAAAATTATTAAAATCGTACGCTAGTGAGTAAGCAAGTCTTTTCATATGCAGACCTGAGTTCAACAGGCAACAGCGGGAGTACTTGTTTGACAGAACAATCAAGGTATCCAGCTGCCTTTAATAATATGTCAATTGAAGCCCGCCTGCTCTCTGCCACATCAAAGAATAGAAAACAACACACTTACAGAAGAACCATCCGTAACAAGAAAAGCCAAGTCAGCATAATGGCAAAAATCAAAACAGTAATTAATTGGGCATGACTGCAATATTCTTAGCTCCTTACACTGAAGTATAAGGATTTTTAGCAATATTAATAGGCCACAACTACAATATTTTGTAATGATGAATCACTCAGCACATCTGAAATTTTGTCACCATAAAGAGCTATTTTGTCAAACTACAAACAATATATCCTTATTTGTTGCGGTACAAAGAAATCTGGAATGGGCACACTAATAACACTTAAGAGCACCTTCTGAAACTTTTGGTTGATAACCATCAGCAGATGTTCTTGGAAGAAGCAGCAAGTTAGCTTGTGATAATGATAGCACTGCCATCAAGTGCAGAACTGATAAAACCTCATACCAAGCATTAGACATTGCTGTTTCCTGAAAGATTGTTAATTCAGATTAAACAAGCCTTCATCTGAATAGAAAAAATATCGTGTCAAATAAAAAATAATATAGATAGAAGAAACAATCAGATTCTATTCTCACCTCTGCATCATCCTCCTGATTAATCCAAGCAAACTGTACCATGTGTTGTAATAAGCTTCCTGCAAAATAGAGACAAGTAACAATCAGGACTACTCGTAAACATAGAAAATGTTCTAATGGGATCAGCACGGTTCGTGTTTTACCATCTTTAACTAATCCAAGAAGAACAGGCAAATAATCTTGAAGAGCCTGCTGAAGATCCGCCAAAGTTGAACCTCCTGAGAGACAATAACTGATGCATTACTATTTCCGATTACAAACAATTCCAGAAGACATCAGGCTACTATATGACTAACCGTGTTGAGTAGTAGTTTTTCTCCTTGTTCTTGTAATTGTTGGAGCTTCTTGGCCTGCCATTACAACTATTCGGGTTCTAAGAGCAGAAAGGCGTTCAACTAAAGTTCTAGGTAATTGATCACCAAGTGACTGAGAGAAGTCCACAGGTGTAGGAATCCGTAAGCCAGGAACAAAAACAGAAACTTCCCCAATGTTTGCTGGCCGCCTTCTGTTTCCTCCAGAGTCCTTTGGGGTCGATACCAGGCATCCCATGTCCAAAGATTTGCTGAATCTGCCAACCCAAATTATATAGAGTCAGGGAATTGAATACATGACACTGAACAAGAGAATCAGAAAAAAGGAATGGGAAACAAATGACCTCTCTTACAAGAATCAATGTTGATTAGAGAACAGAGTACACACACTTATTCTAATATATGGGGAAAAGAAGAAAAACTTAGAACTCAAAAATCGAAGTTCAAAGGATGTGGACAACGTTCACAAGAAATATAGAAAAATAGCAATAAAAAGGTCACAAAGAGGAAGTAATAAATGACCAACCAACAAAGTAGTGGGCTACTCACGGGCAGTGGCAGAGTGATTGTCACCAAAACTCTGTCTCTCTCTCTCTCTCTCTCTCTCTCTCTCTCTCTCTCTCTCCCCCATATGTAGTATAGGAAGTAATATACGTTAAAAGATAGACTTTATTACCTTGCCTTTTTTATCAGAAGAAGATCAAATGATGGGTCGGAACTTTTAGTAATTTCTGCATAAAGAATTTATAACTGCAAGTGAGGCCAAGAGGTATATATACAGAAATAAACAAAAGTAACAGAACTTCACAAGAATGGCATGACTAGTGACAGGTGTTGTGTCATTTTTCTGACTTTTCTTAATTTCATTATTTCTGAATGCCTTCTTTTCATATTTCCAACTAGAAAAAGGAATTTCCAAATAAAGAAATGGAAGACACCAACGGATCAAAAGCTTTAACTATTGTATGTATGTGCATGAGAAAGTATACATACATACGTACGTAGACATATACATATATATATATATATATATATATTAAAGAGCTTCAAATCGTTTTAGCTTGTGAATCAAGGATCATAAAACTGAGTTTGAATTATCACAAGAAGAAGCCATATGAATTTCTAAATTTGGATTGAATCTACCAAAAATCAAGAATCCAAACAAAAATTGGCAAAACAGAAGCTACAGAGCAGCAGGGGCGCCCAATAAGAGAAACTAAACAAACCCAAGAGGAAGAAAGAGAATTCTGAAGATTCTACCGAAACCCATTTGAATTCAGCAAAATTGAAGGAGTAAATAGAGAGATCATTTCAACTGGAGAAGATGGAAACCAAGGCAACATACATGTATGTACCATGTCGTCTCTTGCATTTGAGATGAGAGACAGTCAAAAGTAACAGTGCTCAATAGTCAAATTCAATTGAAATCAAATCAAATCAAATTAAAACCAACCCTAGTACAGAAAGCTGAACATCGAATCGAACTGGTGAATTCCTCTCAGAGTAAGAATTTAAGAAAAGCTGACGACAACAACACCTACTACAACAGAGAGCAGCTGAGGATAGATCACGCCCTCACACAATTTCTTCTAACTTTCTAAATTCAGAATTCAACTTCTTCTTTTCCTTCCTTCTTGTTCCTTTACTTTATTGGAGAGAGAGAGAGAGAGAGAGGCGTGAGGGAGAGAGAGTGTCTTAGAAGGTTCAACTTAGAGGGGAATTGCCGATAAGTTCGCAGCAACTTATCAAGCAGGGGAGAGATTTTTTTGGGGAAAAATTACAAATAATAAAACTAGTAGAAAAATAAATAAATAAAACAAGATTTTTACCGATAATAACTAAAATCCTCCCCCTAAAAAAATTTTAAAAAAAATCCTCACCAACTTGGATATCTGTTTATAGGAAAATTTTATGGGTAATTATTCAGTAATTCTGAAATATAGACACGTAATATTTTATAATATTGTGATTGGTAGAGAAAGTGGGTAGATGAAGTATTATGTTGGGAGGCTCTATTTACACACCACTTTCTCGCTCAAGACAAACCACTTCTAAAGACACATCAAAAATAATTTATAAAATTAAATATTTTTCTCATCACACACCACAAATTTATATATTTACCCTTACTCACATATCCACCCACAACAATATATACACAAAGTTCCAACTTTGTCCCCACACAGCCACACACCCCACACCCACGATATTCATATCCCCCTTCATTCTCTATTTATACCGGTGAACACCATTGTTGAAAATACTCATCAAGACGTCGCCAGTGGTGTTGCTCAACACAGTTCTGGAAAATAAAAAAAAATTTATAACGGTTCGGCAGTACAGAGTTGAATTAAATGAAAAAGTTCGACCGTAGTGATCCGAACAAATTTCACTTGTTCGATTGTAGTCTGTTGGACATATGTAAGTTGTTCGATTGTAGTATGTTGAACAGATGTAATTTGTTCGATTGTAGTCTGTTGAACAGATATAATTTGTTCGATTGTAGTCTGTTGAACATATGTAATTTGTTCGATTGTAGTTTGTCGAACAATGATATATCATTCACCTCTAGTTAACCGAACAACGATTTACCACTCATAAACGAAAATGAAGATGAAAACAAAAAAAAAAATCATTTTCATTGCTCCATTGTTCCGAATGAGAATAGTCAGATGCATCCTTTATTGAATCCAATCAAAATCTTCAATTATATTATATTTTTTATTATTTGTTGAAGGGTTTTTTATTTTGGTTTTAGGATTTTTGAATTCTTGACAGAGAAGATACGTACGGAACAAGTTTGAAATTAATGATTTATATTATATTGATTCTTATCCTTTATGGTAAATACACAAAATAGGGTGTATCATAACTTGTCATTTATAGTCATTTCACTTAGGCAGCGGCTTTGGTCCAGTCCAAGATCGGACTGGACCGTGCTGTTGGGCCCGTGGGGGCCCACCACGGGTCCTGTTTTGATAATCCGAACCGTGCAATGTGTAGAACTTGTCGAGTACTATATGCCTGTAAAAAATCACGTTGATCGGATATCGATAGCTATATGAACAAAATAGTTTTTTATCAACCGTTAATTTTTTCACCGTCCATTTTTTTTATACAAAACTGATTTGATCACATAGCTATTGATATCCGATCAACGTGATTTTTTACAGGCATGTAGTACTCGACGAGTTCTACACATTGAACGGTTCGAATTATCAAAACAGGCCCAAAAAAAGGGCCCTATGGGCCGAACTGGACGGGTCCAGTCTTGATCTCAACTTGAGACAAGCTGGACCCTTTCGCTTAAGGTTAAAATTGTAATAAAAAATTAATTAATGGTTTGTCTTGAGAGGAAAAGTGATGTGTAAATAGAATGACCCTATTATGTTGGGTGATTGGAAAATATAGGAGGCATATTGAATAATGATTGATAAGGAGTACGGACACATAGTAAATATTGAATAATTTCTCAAATTGTATTATGTACACTACATGCTCTATGTACTTTTACGCCAATTTTTTTAGTTATGATTAATTTTTTTTAGTTATAATATTATTTTAAGATATTGGCTTCGTTTGAGAAGTGAATTGACTTTTTGGTTATACCTATAACTAAAAAATCTTGTTTAGGTGGGACTTTTGACTTTTTTTTTACTTTTGTCTTATTAATTTTTTGGTCTATTTTATCTTTTTGTAACTATTTTATCTTAATAATCCCTCAACTAAGATGCCAAATGAGGGCATTTGATTATGATTTTTTTATATTTGATTATGATTTTTTTTTTAGTTATTCAAAAAATATAAAATTATGTCATTTTATTCTGTAATTATAATAGACAAATGGTATAACTTATTTACAAGACCAAAATCTCTTCAACATCAATTCATTTTCTTTTGTAATATGATGCCAATTTTAATTTCATTTTAACTCAATCACATCTCTTATCAATCATTCTAATTATTTATTTGAATTTTTTGTACCTATTTTTATTTAATTATTAAATTTTTTACCAATTAATATGAATGCGGCTTCCACATCTTATCTAGCTACACTATAAATTAAGGGGGGAATTAACCATTCAAGAGTGATTTTGAAAAATTATTACATATTCATGACGAAATTTATAATTTTAATTAGTAATATTTATGATATTATAATTATTTTTTCTTAGTACCAGAGTCAATTTCTCCTAAATTGAGATATAAAAGAACTTCTACCAATAATTGCATAAAAATAGAAATTTTCATGAATAATTATAAAAGAAATAATTACAATATAGATGAAAGCTAAACCTTAATTTTTGAAACTTGATAAAAGTATATACCCTTTCTTAATCATATTCCTCCATCTTCTTCCTAACCTTCTCTAACACTAGTGGCCTGTCCACATTTTTCCTGTCGTTTCCTCTTCTTCGCCCTTCATTCTCTTCTTTAACTGCTAATTGGCGACCTTTCCTCAACTCTGTCTCAACCTTCTCCGCTCAACCCCATTTTTGTCCACACTACAACAATTTTTGCAGCCCCTCCCTAGACCATTACGCCACCCACCCCCTTCGTTCTCTCTCCCTTTGCTCTCTCTCTCTCTCATCGTGATCTCTAAATGTAGCGGTAGGAGATGAACAAGGAATAAACAGAAGAAGTTGGAAGAAAATGATAGTTGGAAGAAAATGATAGTGGTGATGGTGAAGGCTAGTGGTGGGGAGGTTGTTGGCTAAGAAGCATAGGGAAATGGTCACCGATGGTAGAAAAGGTGAGAGCGGAAAGAGGAAAAGAGATAATAAGGGAAGAGATAGGGAATGGAAAGGAAGGGAGGGAAATGTACTTCTAGCTATGTTTTGGTAATTTAGTTTTGGGCGCTCAGGTCAAAAGTCCAATTTTAAATTTTTATTGCTCAAAGATCTACACTAAGAATTACTTTGTCCATAAGGACATGCTTTTGCGTAATGACCAAACTGCTCTACATATATATATATATATATTTTTTGTTTCGAGAACAAAACCTTAGCCTCCGTTTAGAAAGTAGGTTGACTTTTTGACTTTTTTGACTATTTTAGCCTGGACTAAAAAGTTTGGTTTAGGAAGGATTTTTTGGCTTTTTTGACTTTTTTTTGTAAGAGAAGAATGTAATGATTATGAGTTGGATGTGATATTTTATTTTTTGTGGCTAAAATAATTTATTTTATCTTTTATAATTAAAATAGTCAAAAAAAGCCCCGTTTAACTCTTGCCAAACGGAGTCACTCTCAAACTTGCGCCTCCGTCTCTGTCTCTCTCTCTCTTCGGAGTCTCTCTCTCTCTCCCTTTCCGTAGCGCTTCTCCACTCCCTTACCACCGCCCAGATCTGCCACAGAGGGAGTTCCTGACTGGTAAGATGGCGTGATCGGCGATCTAGAGTTCAAAGGCGATCCAAATCTGAGAAGACAGTGAGAAGAAAAAGAGAGTAAGAGGGAGAAAAGAGAGGAAAAGAATATGAAAAGAAATTTTCTACGTTCGACGACGGCGCGACGGAGAGAGAGTAGAGAACCGAACCAAACGGCGGTGCGTAGATCTCAACGGAGACAACAATTTTCAAGAGAACTCTAGCGGCAACAGTGAAGAATGCTACAATGGTGAAGAGGTCGCCTTCTCGAAGGTCGAAGGTCGAAGGCCATCGGCGGAAGTGATTCAAAGAAGGCTCGGAGAAAGAGTTCACAAATCTACAGATCCACCCACCATTGCAAAAACCCTCCCTCCTCCTTCTTCTTCCACCGTAGACACCGCCGAAGTTCTGATGATTGACAATCGTAGGTCAGCAGCTCAATTGCTAATGGCGAGCTGGTCAAGCACGTGTTGTTGTTTGTTTCCACCATGATCGTCTCTGACCAAATCCACCATGATCATCTTTGATCTCTCTTATCAGAACCATAGTTGGTTTCTGTTTGTTTCTTAGGAAAAATAAAATAAGAAGTGGTGATTTCCATGGATTTGGAAGTAGATTGAAGAACAAATTTGACTGTGTGTTGTCAAATTCTACTATGTGTGTTGTTTTTAACTGTGTGCATGTCATATTTCAAACCTGGGCATGACCAGTCGTAGCCTATAAGGCTTTAGTCCAAGGCACACGTAACCTAAACACGAATTCATAATCACATAGAATAAATGTAATAATAATCTACAAATAAATAAATCAATCAAAACTCAACCCAATGATATGTCACAAGTATAAACGGCCAAAATCAACCCTAATTATTACCATCCAAACCAATGGGACACAAACAACCCACATAACAAAATAATCATAAATGAATCTCAACAAAAGGGTATGCACAAAATTGACTTAACAACCAAAAAAATAAAATAACAAATGAATGTCCTAGTGGTCCATGCAATTGAGTCTCCGCTATGTCATGTGTCCACTCTAAGTCCTATCACCTAGAAATGATAAATAATTAAGTCAGCTGTGTGAAAACCCACATTTAATTATTCTTAAAAAAAAATGCATCATAAGATGTGAAAATAAATTGATTTTATCTAGAGTCTATTTAAAATATATATTAGTATATAAGTTAGTTTTAAACCATTCCAATTTAGTCATTAACAAGAGCATTTTTAAAAATAATAATTTTGTGGGTATTCAATATTTATTGTTTATAATTTATTTTGATAAAGATTCAACTTAATAATTATTCTTACTAAATACCTTAGTTGGAAACCTTAATTAATTGATTGTAAGAAATCCATAC